CTCGCTTTGATATGACGGACGAAAGCTTAGCCCCTTTTCACCGAAATCGAAGGAGATTGCCTCGGAAACAGCGTCAGCATGAATCTTGCAGTAAAGTCAATCGACAGCTGATCAAGAGGAATTTGCCGTCGTCTTCTGGTGGAACCGACCTTCGAATCTCTTTACTCAACACTTCCACTCAAGATGGAAGTAAGCTCAACAATTGCGAATAATAAGCATCTGACTAAGGAGTCGGAACGGCTAGAAGATTTGTTGCTGAAAAATTTTCATCCTTTGGGTCCACTCGCAAATAATATCCCTTTTACTGAGGAATAAATTTTCAGACAAAGACTATTTATTTTTCGTTTATCAGTAGTATTCGACAAAGAATGAGAGAGCTGAGTCGGATCCAGCGGTCGAGATTAGCTCAACGCTGGCCGGAGACTGTGCATGTTTTCACCGGAATCGAAAGAAATTGCCTCGGAAACAGCGTCAGCAAGAATGTTCCAGTAAAACCAATTGACAGCTGGTCAAGAGGAACCGACCTTGGAATCTCTTCACGCAACACTTTCACTCGAAATGGAAGTAAGCTCAACAATTATGAAACAAGAGATTCCTTGAAAGCCAACTTTTCTTCGCCTATTTTGCATGTGTGCAGCTTAAATGTAGATATCTCAACCAGATTTCCTTGTGCGCCCATTCAGTCTCGGGTCTTTAAGTTTTGATGACACGGGCCTGACATTTGGTTTTATTAATCACTCTCAATTAGAACCGTTAGCACACACATACGAACACACAAAAGTAAAACCACCATGACCAATAGGCAAGGGATTTAGCCGAATTGTTCCCCATATTTGTTTATTTTTGTGTGTTTTACCCATAAATATATTCATATGACGGTTGTCTTGACCTGGGGTTAACTTGACACTTTCACAAGAATGGGAACCAGCTCGTATGATTTTCATCATATGATGGACGAAAGCTTAGCCTACTTCATCCAAGACGAAAGAAGATTTCCTGTGGACGACGTCAACTTGAACGTTGTATTAAAGCCAAACGGCTGCAATACAACAGAAATCAGTCGTTGTCGTCTGGTGTGATAGAATTTCTCCTTCGTGCACTTTTACACAAAATAAATCATCTTAAGTTGTTCTTTAAAACCCAATTAATCTTAGTATTTCTTGTGCTCGTATTTATGTGAGATTCCATTTTTTTGACTTATTTTCTTGCAAAACCCTCATAATTGTGGGCAGTTCGCGAGAGGCTATCTCATTGGCAAGATTTCCTGAAACCGATCTTGTTGTACAGCATCAAAGTCCTAGTGACAACCACGGCCACTTGCTCTCCTCGTCTTCCAAAGTAACGCCATCACCAGCAACACTACCTTCTGTAATTTCTTCGTCTTCATATGCTATTCGCCCCTCTATCGTGGCTGGCCGTGCTTCGGATGAATGTGATCCTGTGCCTTTGTATCCTTCAGAACTGGATCCATGCAGGTGAGCTTACAGAGAATGCATACTTCTATCTTTGTTTTTAAAGATACTCACAATCACTTGTTCTATTATGGCACTACTTAATCTACAGCCGTTTTTCGTTTTAGATTATTTTTAAGGTTTATTACAGCGCAAGTTTGTTAAATATATTTAAACCCTCGAAAATAAAAACTAAACAGTTGGCCACGTGTAAGTGTTTATTCATACATTTGCGTTTTATTATAATTCGGTTCATTCATCTTATCAAAAGTTAAATATCAAGAATAATTTATCAATATATGAATAATTGTATTAATAATGTAAAGGCTTTATTGAAGGAAGAACTAAGAAAATCAAATTTAGAAAAAAAAAGTAAAATACAGTTGGAAGTGCAAGTTAGAATTGATAAGAAGCAAATAAAGTAGCAAATAATTTAAGCAAAACTTAATTAGGAAATCAAGCAAAATAGATGAAAAACTAGAGATAAGCAAAAAACAAAGACTAGTCAGAGATAAAAATAAGGTACGACATTAGGATACGACAGAAATAGGTAAAAAAAGCGATACAATTAATAAAATACGATAGTAAAATAAATACAGAAAGATGGAATGAAATTAAATAATTATTGACTGAATAATAAATGCCCAGATTAATAGGGGAATAAATAATTAAAAAGTAAAAATCATA